TCAGAATAAGTTTGATCCATTCTACTTCCTAGAGAGCACTTAGGGGGAACGTTCAAGAATGCCTGAGGCAGATAATACTAAAGATACTGTGATGGAGAACCTTGATTTTTCATCTTGATCCGAGTTAGGGCCAACCAGAAAACTTATAAAGCTGTGCCTCTGGGACTGCTTACTGAGATGGTTAGCACGTGAGTCAGCAAGCTGAGTGGGGAAGATGGCCCGAACCAGAGACCATCCAGGTTTCTGGGTACGGGGTGGAGCAAAAAGTGGAAGAAAATGCATGCTCACACATGTGCCAGTGCGGGACTCTTCATAAACAGGTGCGTGTCTGCTGCTACTGTCTCCTGCGGATATCAGTAGTTTTTGAACAAAGATTTACACCAGTTACTTTCCAGGGAGCTTTCAGGTCTCCAACCTTAGACCAGTTCTTTATCACTTATCTCTCTTATTCTCAGGTTGCCAGCTCTTTGGACCAAGCAGCTACTGGCTGCCCTGGCTGTCCGCTTTGCAGATAGCCATCACGGGATGCTCCAACCTCTGAGCATTTTGTATGCCATTTACTAAAATCCCTCTTACAGTCCTGTGTTCTCTTCCTGTGGGGAACCCTGACTGATACAAAGTAATAGTCTTATTTTCATTCTCTCTTTATTATATGGTGAGTACCCTGGGCAAGGCTAATTTACAATCTGCAGGGCTCAGTTAAAAAAAAAAAAAGATGCAAAGACCTTTTTTGAAAAAAGAATAAAAGTGTCATTAAAAGCATTGCAATTCACAGCTCTTTATGCTTCTTCCGCAGCCTTTTAATTTCCCATGATTTTTACTTGTAGTTTAATGCCATTCAAAGTGAATAAATTGAGTTTACATTATTGACATGGATTTCATAATTTTTTTCTTATATAATACAAGGACAGTTTTCAATGCCAATATAAAATTATAGTTCGGTCAGTGAAAGTACACAACTTGCATTTTAAATTATATTAAATGATTTTTGAGAAGTAATTTTATTATGGGAACTCTGGCTTCATCAATGTATTAATCCATTAATGATTTTTAATGTGCTGATTTGCTGAGAGATTATGGAATCTGAGGAAGCAAGACCCAGTTAAAGAGCATATTATTTACTTTTCTATTACAATGTTTACTCTCACAGAAGCAAATTAAGGGGAAAACAGTTTATTCTGGTTCACACTTCCAGATTACAGTCTGTAATTGCGGGGGAAGTCATGCCAATAAGAGCGTGAAGTGGCTGGACTGGAGGCAGAGAATGTTTGCTTTCTCTTTATTGGCTGGTCCAAGTCTCAAACCCATGCCATGATGCCACCCACATTGGGCAGGTCTTCCCACTTCATTTAACCTCATACAATTGATCCCTCACAAGTGTGCCCAAATGCTGATATCCCAGCTGATTCTAGACTCCATCGAGTTAACAAAATGAACCATTGCAAAGAGTGAGAGTGTTCTTTGGGGCTGTTCCTTTTCCTCAACCCCTTCCTCGTTCTTTCTTTGTTACCCAGTGTGGTAGTTTGAAAGTAATTGGCTCCCATAATTTCATAGGGAGTGCCATTATTAGGAGGTGTGGCTCTATTGGAGGAAGTGTGTCACTGTGGGAGCAGGCTTTGAGGCTTCCTATGCTCAGGATGCCATCCAGTGTCTCAGTCAACTTCCTGATGCCTGCAAGATGTAGGACTCTCAGCTACTCCAGCACCATGCCTTCCTATATATCACCATGCTCCCCTTCATAACAATGGACTGAACATCTAAAACTGTAAGAGAGCCACCCAATTAAAGGTTTTCTTTTTAGGAGTTCCTATGTGGTCATGGTATCTCCTCGAAGCAATAAAAACCTTAACCAAGACCCAGTCACCCTGAGCTGATCAGTTTTGCCCTGCCACATCCTTGCTGCCATGACAATTTTCTTACCACAAGCCCAAAGGGTCAGACCAAGAAAACACAGACTGAAACCTTTAAAACTGTGAAGAAAGTAAATCGTGGCTCCAGTTGTCTTCCCACATATTTTGCTTTAGCGGTGAAAAGCTAACTAGCATATACCTCAACAAGGTCAGTCTCAAAACTGATATATTGAACAAAGAAAGCCAGACATGGAAAAACAGATGCTACGTGTCAACTTTATGAGGTTCCAGAAAAGGCAAATGTTGAGGGCTGGAGGGATGACTTGGTCGGTCAAAGCTATTGCAAAACAAGAAGGTTTGAGTTCAAATTCCCAGTGTCACAGAAAACCTAGACTGTGTGTGTCTATTACCACAACATTGGAGGGCAGAAATGTGTGGATCAGGAGAGTTCACTGGCAGAGAGCGAAACCTAAATGGTGAATTTCAAATTCAATGAATGACCTGTCTCACCGGAAAATGAAAATAGGGTGAAGAACGATAAAGGGAGATATCTAACATTACATTCTCCTCTAGCTTCCACATGCATTCTCCTGGGCATGTACATGGGTATATGTGCTGTATTGGACAAGGTCAACACACATGTACATGTACACACATCGCTCACATTTATACCAGAAATACACAGAAGCAGAATTGGGCGGCAACAAACGTAACTCGAGATGTTAGCAACATGCTGGCTCCTTTGTAGGAGCAGCTAAGCAGTGAGTAAGAAATGACCCAGGATGCTTCTCACAGTGCTAAAAGTGTCTGTGTCTTGATTTGGCTGAGAGTGCATGGGTGTACCTTTTTCTTTTTTCCCCACATTTTATTGTTTAACAGTTTCAGAAGTCCATTGAATTCTGGTCATTTTCCCCCTACTCACCTCCCTCTCTCTAGTATTGGAACCCTTCTTTTCAATGAATCCCCCCTCTTAATTTCATGCCCTCTGCTTTGTGTGTGGCCTGCTGAGTTTCATTAGTAACTTGCATAGCTATTCAGTGAAGCACAGACAACATATATCACTCCCCCAACAAGTGTTAGTTGCTGAGACTTGCTTTGTACATAGGATCTCTAAATCCCACTCCGTATAAACACTGTCTCAGTAAACAATAAGTTGTTCCATGTTTCTCTTTACCAAAAAGGAAAAGGAAAACCTGATTAAATTCTCACATACTATCTGGCAAGTTATGAAATCAAATTGCAAAACACCACAAAACATAAGTGGTGTTGAGATTAGGACAATGATCTTTATGTGCATTTATGTGTAACTAAAGACGTTCTTACTATGTCAACTCATCCCCATGACTATGGTTCTTGCCATAAAGATTTTTTTCTATTTTTAGTACACTTATCTCTGTAGAAAAATCTTCACACTGTTCCTAGGTTTACTTCTAGATTACTTAGAAAATGGCTGCTTTAATGTATGAACTGAAGATGTAAGCTGTCAGCAGTAAAAAAAAAAAAAAATTGAAAAATTAAATGAGAGCTGTGGTTACAGGAGGGAAGGGAAGTGGTAACAGTTCTTCACCTGAAGCTGCCCAAACCATGAGGGCAGTGATCAGCACTGCAGAATCATTTTTATTGAGCCTGGGTACCTCTGTATCTTGACACCATCTAAAATGACTAAGAATTAGAGGGCTTGAAAAGAGTGAAGTGTCCCAAATCCAGCCCTGCTGTGATTTCTCCTCTTGGGATTGGGCATATTATTTTAGACCTAAATTTCACTCAAGTGCTATAATCCAGGACTCCATTTTGAATGCTTTTTTTTTTTTAGCTTAAAAAGCCCGTGATCTCTAGTTATACTAAGTCTAATAACAGTGAGTCTAATTAGGAAATAACCAGTTTGAGACGGTCAGCCAGGCTCTTTAGTAGAGAAAATGAAACAGACAGAAGCTAAAGAAGAGAAATACAAGGTAAATCTGCATGTGGTAATAGAAAATCCCCAAATCACTGATGGAATAGTAGGCAGGCAGTTGTTCATGTGATGCAAGGGATCTTGAGAGAAATCCACCACATGAGAAATACCAGACTTATTTCTTTACCCTAGAAAAGATGGGCCACAGAGGTGTTACCTAGCTCACCAAAGAAGGGACTCACACCACAGCAGAAGTACTGCTATTTATTTCTTCCTGGTGTTAAAGGAAACAGACATTGCTTGTAGCTCATACAAAAGCAGGGCCTGGGAAAGGCTGGTGCTATGGTTGGGATTCAGCTTTTCATAAACTGAGCCTTCTACAGACTACAGTCATCATAGTTCTCCATTCTGTACCCTCAGCCTCTGACAGCCTGCTAATTGAGAGGGTCTCTAATTTTGTCATTGATGTTCCCTGTGCTTGTATTATTACCTGAGCAGGTCCTAGATGGCCCTTCTCTTCTCCATTCTCCAGGATCACAGCCAAGAGACAAGGATTAGAAGAACAGAGGCCATCACTTCCCACAAATCACTCAGAAAGAAACAATCGATTCTCTTGCTGCCTATGAAGGCAAATGTCTGAGGACTTCCTCACTGCAAGCCTACTGTGAGTACAAGTACCTGAAATGTTTGGCTTCATAATGTTTTACCCAAACATGATTTTGCCCACTTGAGGTTTAGGAACCAGGTAACAAATTCTGAATTACTAATGGTGATCATTGTACATGGAAGCTACTAAAATGAGGGTGTAGGTTGGGATAGGATATTATAACCATAATTCCTACTTCTGCTCATTTTGTAGCTGTCATTGTTGGATTTGCAGGTGGGATCTCACTGCCCATCTGAGAAAATGGTGGACTTTGAATGGAATGCAAGACCTCCCCGACATATTGTAGTTATCCCTCCTCTGAGATTGTGCAGGAAAACCCTCTCGAATTTTAGGTTTGCCTCATTGCAACTAAAGTACGTGTGAGTATTCCCGTTCTCAGGAGACAGGAAAATACGGTAATGTAAACTTTATTTATCTTACACCAAAGTTTCCCTGCAGTGCTCAAATTTTCTAATACTTTGCACTCATGTACATATAAAGTAAAGTAATTTTAAGCTTGGATTTATTTCAGAACAGAAAAGAGACATTTGTAAAAGACATCAGAAAAGAGATTGGGGAAAAAAAACAATTGTAACAAATTAATCACAAGTCACGGGTACAAATTTCCTCATTTCCCCCCTCAGTCATGTTTAATTGTTTGGGTTTGATTTGCAAAACAGGATTTCCTCTGCTTCAAATGGAGTTATTTTCCATATTCTTCTCATTTGACATGATCTGGGGAAAGAGCATAGATATCCCTTAAGAGAGAAAAACAATTCACGTCATGAAAATGGGCTGCATAAAACCGTAATAAATACATGTTCAAGGGCATAAATATGTAGTAACACATTGCAGCTAAAAATCAAATATGTGGTAGAATTTCCCTAGGGTAGAAACAGGCTGCATCAAAAGCAATTTACCCTCTCCCTAAAGGCCCCAAATGTCCTACATTCTCAATTCTCACATCCTGCCTTCTGGACCTCTTTGACATTAAGAATCGGTAATATTTTCATGTGTTCTTGTTTCCAGATCACAGTGTCACATCTAGGCAGGTAGGGCACAAATTCATATCTCTTAGAGTAACAGCTATTGCCTCGCTTTCTCTAAATGCCCAAGATGGTAATTTACATCTTTCTTCTCTGGATGAACAGAATGGAATTTCATCTCCCACTACAAATGAAGTTTTATCTTTCTGTATGTAGTGACAATTCAAGGAAAGCCGAGGCTGCTTACACAAACCGTGCCAATACCTTTTACAACACAAGCCACTTCACAAAAGAATTCTCTTGTTGTAATCCATGTTACAAGCTCCACAAGCTTCCCATAGGACACCAACTTTTAATACACAGCTGCTGTGGATAACGTTCTATATAAATAAAACACTGATGGCCAGTGACCAGACAGGAAGTATAGGCGGGACAAGGAGAGAGGAGAATTGGGGAAACAGGAAGAAGGGGAGAGAGACACTGCAGCCACCGCCAGGACAAGCAGCATGTAAAGACGCCAGTAAGCCACCAGCCACGTGGCAAGGTATAGATTTATAGAAATGGGTTAATTTACGATAAAAGAACAGTTAGCAAGAAGCCTGCCACGGCCATACAGTTTGTAAGCAATATAAGTCTCTGTGTTTACTTGGTGGGGTCTGAGCAGCTGTGGGACTGGCGGGTGACAAAGATTTGTCCTGACTGTGGGCAAGGCAGGAAAACTCTAGCTACACACAGCAGTTTAGCTTGGGGCTGGTGTGAAGACAACAGAGCCTCAGTTCTGAGATCACTAGACAAAACTATAAAGAGCAGGGCTTCTGCTCAAACCCATCAGGATCTTGAGGGTTCACCATTTTAGCTGGGCCAGCATTCTGTCCTTTGAGACTCTGACTTCTGAGACTCCAGCCAAGTGATGTGCACTTTTGCCCTTCCCACCCAGCTCTGCGTTACCAGTCAGTCTCTGATTCACAAGCTCTATAACCCTCGCTGAACACAGAACTTGTCCAAAGATAGAATTAGGTAATTTACACAAGATCCCTCTACACAGTGCTATACAGCACCTACTGTCAGCATCATAGTTTTGCTGTTCCCATTATCTGATAGATCTGTGGGCTTACTATAGTTTTCTTGACTTCTTTAAAGCCTTTCCTTGTTTCATTCTATTACATTCTAACCCTTGAAAAACGACTCACTATTGGGGAGATGATGGAGTGAGTGGTAGAGTACTTGTTGCATAAACACGGAGATCTGAGTTTTATCCCCAGAACCTATGTAGGATGCAGCAGTACACATCTGTAACCCCAGATGCTGGATAGGTGTAGACACAATGTTCTAGGGACTTGCTGCTCAGCTAGTCTAGCCATTCAGTGAGCTCCAGATGCAAGGGGAGTTACTGTCTCAAAAATACAGTGGAGGGGAAAACATTGACCTCTGGCCTCCACATGTGCAAAGGTGAATACGCTTGCAAACACACACACACACACACACACACACACACAGAGAGAGAGAGAGAGAGAGAGAGAGAGAGAGAGAGAGAGAGAGAGAGAGAGAGAATAAGAGCTAATTGTTATTTTCTTCAAAGATACTTGCCAGAGTACCTTACTTAGTTTCAACTGTCATTTTGACACAACCTAGAGGCATCTGAGAAGGAAGTCCTAACTTAGATAGTTTCCAGATAAGCCCAACTTGTGGAAATGTCTGTGATGGGTTGCCTTGATTGTTAATTGATGTACGAGAGCCTATCCTAATGTGGACAGCAAGTTCTGTGAGCAAATGTTCCTAGGCTACATATGAAATCTGGCTAAAGGCAAGCCTGAGCAACTCAGAGCACAAACCATCAAGCAGTCCTCCTCATGTTCTCTGCCTCAGTTTCTTTCTTGGGTTCCTTCTCTGGATTTCATTTATGATGGTCTGTACAGCTGTAGAATGAAAATAAACCCTTTCTTCTCCCAAATCACTTCTTGTCAATATTTTATCCCAGCAACATAAAGGAAACTAGAACAGAGGAAAAGGAGGGATGTTTTCAACAAATTCTCTAAGATTCCATTTCATAAGACCAGCAAATCACCAGGTGACTCCCATTTCTCAATGTTTCACCATTAATTCAGTCTCAACTCTTCACATGGAAATATTTAACAATGTCCATTGAATGGATAGCTATTTCAGTTTTCATTTAGTCTCATGTTTTCTCAAAAACCATGAATCAGAAAAGGTAGTAAAAGTAATCAGAAATGGAACAATGATACCTAAAACTGACTAATGCTTAAGGAACAAAGAAATCAGTTTGTTGAGAAGGTATTAAGGGCTCAAATAGGTAACAAGCTGACAGGTTAAGTGATCGAAAAACCAGAAAGAAAAAGAACAAGGAAATGTTGTATAGCATGAGCTGGAGAGGTTGCTCAGAAGTTAAGAACATTTGCTTAATGTTCTGCCAGAGGTCCCAGCGCCCATGTCCAATGGCTCACTGCCACATGTAACTCCAGTTCCAGGGGATCTGGAGCCATCTTCTGGCCTCTGTGAGCATCTGTACACACATGCAAATGCTCTCAAAGTGACACATATAGACACATAAATTTTAAATGGGCATGTTGTTCAGGATAGAATCTAATCACTGTGGCACAGGGGCCTCGCTCACTTGCTGGTCAATCACCCTGTTGCAGTGTCTTGAGTTCTGCGAGCTGCAGGTTCTCTAGTTCTTGCCCATTGTCGTGATTGCTTACTAACTAATCTTAACCTTCCTTAGCCAGATTTGAAGCAGCAAAAGCAGATCCTAGTCAATGAAACTATTACAGTAGGGGAGAGGACCGAGTGTGTGTGAGTGGGACTCACCTGAGCTAAAGCGAAATGGTGGAGTAGGCTAAAGGCCTTGGGGGGTATGGAGGAGAGTTAGCTCATGTGACCGGGCCATGTAGTTTGACTTTGGGTTCTTTGGTTTTTGTTTAGTTTGCCTAATGCTCATCTATAAAAGAAATAAACTTCCGTTCTGTGGCAGAGGCATGGTGCAACTGGAATAAGCAAGGCATTTGGGAGAATAAGGTCCTCAGTCTCCACAGGTGCCAGGAATGCATTTCCTCTGTGGATCCTAACATTTGAAAGAGAGATGGAGCTCAGAGCCATGTGAGAAGAACTAGGGATTGTAATTTTACATCCCAAAGGTGAAAGAAGTGTTCATAACTTCAAGGTATTTAAAGTTACTGCTTTAAAAGGCAGGTCAGATAAAATACAGGAGTTATTCCAGTTTTCTTTGTATCTGTTGAGATCTGCTTTGTGACTGAGTATGTGGTCAATTTTAGAGACGATTCCATGGGGTGCTGAGAAAAAAGTATACTCTTTGTGTTAAAGTGAAATGTTCTATAGATGTCTATTAAGTCCATTAGTGTCACAGCATCTGTTGGATCCCTTACTTCTCTGTTAAGTTTCTGTCTGGCAAACCTGTCCATTGGTGAGAATGGGGTGTTTAAGCCTCCCACTATTAGTGTATAGGGTTTGATGTGAAATTTAAGCTTTAATATTGTTTCTTTTATATATGTGGGTGCCCTTGTATTGGGGGCATAGATGTTCAGACTTGAAACTTCATCTCGGTGGGTTTTTTTCCTGTGATGAATATGGGAGGGAGCAGGAGGAGGGAAGAGAGGGGGATCTGTGATTGGTTTGTAAAATGAATTAAAAAAATTCTTAATTAAAAAAAAGGTAAAACTGAGCTAGAAAATGTGAAATAAATAAATAAATAATGAATGAATGAATGAATGAATGAATGAATGAATGAGTGAATGGCAGGACAGGACCTGTGCTGTACAGAACTCAGAAC